CAAACATAATATAAGGATTGGCTCCCTAAAGATAATAATTGTATAGTGTACAAAGCATTGAATATTCTACATGTTACAGTTTTCTAGTTTTCATCTATTATTGGCTGGTAATTCCTGTTTCACCCTGTACTTAAGCTTTTAAAAGGCATGCCATATTTCTGTAAGAAAGCTAACTTCAAGGGGTAAGGATAACATTATTTACACTATAATAATGATATATTTTTTTTTCAAATTATTACAAGATATTACGACAAAGCGATGACACCGTGCACTGCCCAGAAACACATAGAGTGAATTTAGGTTTGAACCGACGTTAGTTATAAAATAGTTGCAGAGTTATTTCGACTGAAACAAGAAGAAGAAAGATGAACAATTTGGTGGGTTGGTCACTTTCTAGTTTGGTATCTTAGCGATGGTTTCTTGCCTTGTTTTTGGGCTTGTTGGTAGAGAAACAAATGATAGTGAGTGGCAATCATTTTTTAATGTAAAACTGTCTGTCATTGCTGATTTTTAGCGTGCATATTTGTATTATGCTTATTTAGTACCTTGGCCATCCATATATATATGCAGTCTACCGACTCCATGATTCTTAGCTTTTGTCTGTCTTCAAAATGTGCGCGCACCTTATTATCTAAATGTGCGTGCACTTCATTTTAACGGATCGTCAGGTTGATGTCAAGTACATAGCTTACTCTGATTGGAACGTATAAATAAAAGTACGTTATAATACGTTTTAAATTAGAAAAACGAAGAATCGATGTCGCATAATGAAGGTTAAGCCTAGAAATATGACTTGCAAGAAATAATGTTTATAATTGTCTCATATAAATCTGTAAAGTCGTTTTTCAATGATGGTTGACTATACGTAGATTGGTGTCTAATATTGTGTTAATGTTTTCAGTAATTGTGGGAGTAAAGAACGTCCCTTTCCAAAAGTCTACCTATAGTAATTTTAAGTTATAGTTCTTCTTATTAAACACTTACTATTCCTAGTAATTATATTTGTTAGTTCCAGAAAATAATTACGTTTTGTGTTACTATGACATCGACTTGAAACATCCTACCATATTAAATTACCAGTTACACCATAAAACAACAAGAGTAAACACAATATGAAACTAAGATTGCTCCGAACTTAGTTTGATCCCACCATACACTGGGCATGTGAAGTGGAAGTGTGTTTAACAGAACAAATATGACATAGATTGGATTTCAACTTCAAACTAAAAACCAGATTTACAGAAAGAATGATTACAAATGCCGAGGAAATTGATTAGCTGTGTTTGCTCTTCGAAATTTGTATAACCTTCTGTAACCTGATGCCCTAAGCATCGCTAAAGAGCGTGCCTGTGTGAGAAAACGCGCACTATAGAGGACAAAAGATGTGAGACCACCTCATGCTGATAAAGCACCACGAAATTGGCATGTTGTTTACTGCGAAATAGACACCTGTGCTGAAATGCACGTGCGTAGATTTTATGTCTGATCGTCACGCCTCGAATAATGTGGTGACGTAATGCAAAAAAAAGAAAAAAGATCAGAATGATTTTGTGCGTACTACGTAAAATGAGAGGCTAATACCTACGTATTATTTTCATTTGGAGTGACTTCAAAATGCCGTACCTAAACAATGGCTTAAAGAGGCTAGAGTACAACACTAAGTAAACATTTATTTAATATTTTATATTCATTCCATAATTAATCGTAGAATTGTCGATGGTGTCCAAATGTCCAAAATGCTTGTAGGTCCTTGGTTTTGTTAGTTGGAAGTTCCTTAATAACACATGAATCACATATAAAAACATAAACAAAATACCATCAATATTCAGTATCGGATTCAGGCATTCTGGATCCAAGAAAAAGAACCAGAACACACTCTCCTCCCTCATTTTAAATTAGGGTTAGGTTTCATAGCATATAACCTTTGAATATTCCAGTTTTAGCTAGCGCGATCATGGGACAAGAGAGTTGGATTTCAAACTCTCAAATGGACTTTCAAAAAAATTATGTATTATAACCAGGATCCTGGTCAAACGTTATGTATTATAACCAGGATCCTGGTCAAACGTCCCAGTTACTCTCCTTTGAATCCGGCCCTGTCAATGTAACAATTAATATCGCTAATTACTGCTGAGGTCACCTACTATTTTACATATATATGATTTAACCCAGATTTTTTGGGCCTTTTTTATCGTCACTATGCCCTCGTATTATACAGAGGTAAAAACAACGAGCCGTCCATTCTCGTGTTGACAGCTTTCACTTCAGTAGCCGTCTATGATAATCATTAATCATTAACAGTACTTTTACACTTTACTTAATAATAACAATAATACAGATCATCTCCTGAGTAGTAGTAATAAGTCCCTGGACATCAACAAATACATGTATTTTAAAGAGTTAGCGAAGTCTTTTTAAGTTTTTAACAAAGCAAATAACATAAATTTCTTTCAGACATATACAAAGTAGATTATCTTATTCAGGGTCAACCATAAACTACGGTACTCTATCATGGATGTATATATATATTTTCAATCTATAGTTACGTATAAACTATTTCTTAATTCCAGAATATTCGCGCAAAGCTACAAAATGGGCTATCTGCGCATAGCTGTCCCTAATTTTGAATCGATAGACTAGACGGAAGGCAAGCTAGTCAACATCACCCACCGCCAACTCTTGGGCTACCCATATCTGACGGAATAATGGGGATTGACCGTCATTCTTGTAGCATGTTTTTGCAGCCACGAGCCATGAACCCTCGGAGGACGTTACCCACTGAATTACGCCTGATAAACGCATAAGTGAAAATCATTGCGCCTTACAGTTCCCTGCCTTTTATTTAAAATCGGTAAAAACTTTGGGGATATATGTCCCTTAGCCCAATGACTGTGAGGTCCTTGATTAAGACAATTGTGTGTATATATATATATAAGAGATTATATAGTGCTAAGAAATCACACAAACTTAAAGAAGCCAGTATTTAACAACAACTTGATAATGTACAGAAACGTTTGTACAGTACTTAAAACATTCAAAAAAACAAACACATGCATGGCCAGGTGGATAAGGCGCTCGACTCACAATCTGAGGGTCGCGGGTTCGAATCCGCATACCACCAAACAT